AATTAGGCTAAGCCTAAAAATCGGCTAAGCCTAAAAATGGGCTAAGCCTAAAAATTGGCTAAAATAAATTAGTCAAAATTCTGCATCGATGCTTAGCATTAATTATTATTTATTTATTTTAGTAAAATAATTTATTTTATTTATATTTAATGTAAATATTTTATTATTATCAACAAATAAACATGATATGATTTAATATTTTTTATTTATATTATTATATTTTGAAATGAAAATAAATTTATTTATTTGATGTTTTTTTAATAAAAAAAATAATATGCTGCTATATTGTAAAAATGTAATATTCTTTATAATATAATTTATTAGTGATTTTCACAATCTTCTTTGTAAATACATCTTTTATTGAGGAATTATATTGTAAATTTTATTAGATAAATAAACAATCTTTTAGGTGAAATCTTTTATCATTTTTTTAAAATTATCTATTTATTATTAAATAAGGTGGATTTTATGAAACTTTTTTGATGTTATTTTATATGATCTTTTTAAGGATAATATTTTAATGTGACAATTGTCATAATCGTTCTTTTATAAGTTTTTTGAATTTTTTTGAAGGAAGTATGTTAAAATAAGTATTAATAACATGTGTAAATACAAATTTAGTGAAGATGTACCAATGAAAAGTGACAATTGTCATAATCGTTATTTTTAAAGTTTTTCGAATTTTTTTGACGAAAATATGTTAAAATAAGAATTAATAACATGTGTAAATATAAATTTAGTGAAGATGTACCAATGAAAAGTGACAATTGTCATAATGGTTAATTTTAAAGTTTTTTGAATTTTTTTGACGAAAATATGTTAAAATAAGTATTAATAACATGTGTAAATATAAATTTAGTGAAGATGTACCATAGAAAACTGACAATTGTCATAATCGCTATTTTTAAAGTTTTTTGAATTTTTTTGACGAAAATATGTTAAAATAAGTATTAATACCAATGAAAAGTGACATTTGTCATAATCGTTAATTTTAAAGTTTTTTGAATTGAAGATGTGCCATAGAAAAGTGACAATTGTCATAATCGTTATTTTTAATTTTTTGAATTTTTTTGACGAAAATATGTTAAAATAAGTATTATAATAACATGTGTAAATATAAATTTAGTGAAGATGTACCAATGAAAAGTGACAATTGTCATAATCGTTATTTTTAAAGTTTTTTGAATTTTATTGACAAAGATATTTTAAAATAAGTATTGATAACATGTTTAAATAAAAATTTAGTGAACATGTACTCTATTGACAAAGATATTTTAAAATAAGTATTGATAACATGTTTAAATAAAAATTTAGTGAACATGTACTCTAGATAAGCGACAATTGTCATAATCGTTATTTTTAAAGTTTTTTGATTTTTTTTGACGAAAATAGTTAACTTGCATCGATATTGATTTTAAAATAGAAAAAAAAGTTTACCCAAATTTTAAACAAGATTGTCTGGTGAAAATTGGTAAAAAAATAATAATTTCTAACTTAGGATTAGATATTATGATATAAATTTTGCATATTAATTTCTGACCCGATGAACAAATGTAATAAAATGCCAATTTGCTCCTGTTTTTGGGGAAGAATCTATTATTACCATATGTTTTTCTATGGCATATACTCAGGCAATTTTAATTTTACAATCTATATTTTTACCCATTTACATCAAAGAAATTTTAAAAATAACGATTATGACAATTGTCACTTTTCTATAGTACATCTTCACTAAATTTTTATTTAAACATGTTATTATTACTCATTTTAACATATTTTCGTCAACAAAAATCAAAAAACTTGAAAAATAATGATTATGACAATTGTCGCTTATCTAGAGTACATCTTCATTAAATTTTTATTTAAACATGTTATATATACATATTTTAAAATATTTTCGTCAAAAAAATTCAAAAAACTTTAAGAATAACGATTATGACAATTGTCACTTTTCATTGGTACATCTTCACTAAATTTATATTTACACATGTTATTAATACTTATTTTAACATATTTTCGTCAAAAAAATTTAAAAAATAACGAATATGACAATTGTCACTTTTCATTGTCTTCACTAAATTTATATTTACACATGTTATTAATACTTATTTTAACATATTTTCGTCAAAAAATTCAAAAAACTTTAAAAATAACCATTATGACAATGTCAATTTTCTATGGTACATCTTCACTAAATTTTATTTAAACATGTTATCAATACTTATTTTAACATATTTTCTTCAAAAAAATTCAAAAAACTTATAAAATAACGATTATGACAATTGTCATTTTTCTATGGTACATCTTCACTAAATTTTTATTTAAACATGTTTTTAATACTTATTTTAACATATTTTCTTCAAAAAAATTCCAAAAACTTATAAAATAACGATTATAATAATTGTCACTTTTCTATGGTACATCTTCACTAAGTTTTTATTTAAACATGTTTTTACTACTTATTTTAACATATTTTCTTCAAAAAAATTCAAAAAACTTTAAAAATAACGATTATGACAAATGTCACTTTTCATTGGTACATCTTCACTAAATTTATATTTACACATGTTATTAATACTTATTTTAACCTATTTTCTTCAAAATATAAAATAACGATTATGACAATTGTCACTTTTCTATGGTACATCTTCACTAAATTTTTATTTAAACATGTTTTTAATACTTATTTTAACCTATTTTCTTCAAAATATAAAATAACGATTATGACAATTGTCACTTTTCTATGGTACATCTTCACTAAATTTTTATTTAAACATGTTTTTAATACTTATTTTAACATATTTTCTTCAAAAAAATTCAAAAAACTTTAAAAATAACGATTATGACAATTGTCAATTTTCTATGGTACATCTTCACTAAATTTTTATTTAAACATGTTATTAATACTTATTTTAACATATTGTCGTCAAAAAAATTCAAAAAACTTTAAAAATAACGATTATGACAATTGTCACTTTTCTTTGGTACATCTTCACTAAATTTATATTTACACATGTTATTAATACTTATTTTAACCTATTTTCTTCAAAAAAATTCAAAAAACAAATAACGATTATGACAATTGTCACATTAAAATATTATCCTTAAAAAGATCATATAAAATCATCAAAAAAGTTTCATAAAATCCACCTCATTTAATAAAAAAGATAATTTAAAAAAAATGATAAAAAAATTATAAAAGATTTCACCTAAAAGATTGTTTATTTATCTAATAAAATTTACAATATAATTCCTCAATAAAAGATGTATTTATAAAGAAGATTGTGAAAATCACTAATAAATTATATTAAAAAGAATATTACAATTTTACAATATAGCAGCATATTATTTTTTTTATTAAAATAACATCAAATAAATAAATTTATTTTCATTTGAAAATATAATAATATAAATAAAAAATATTAAATCATATCATGTTTATTTGTTGATAATAATAAAATATTTACATTAAATATAAATAAAATAAATTATTTTACTAAAATAAATAAATAATAATTAATACTAAGCATCGATGCAGAATTTTGACTAATTTTTAGCAGATTTATATAGGCTTAGCCGATTTTTAGGCTTAACCTAATTAGGCTTAGCCGATTTTTAGTTTTAGCCGATTTTTAGGCTTACCTAATTAGGCTTAGCCGATTTTTAGGCTTAGCCTTATTAGGCTTAGGCGTAGTTTTTAGCCGATTACGCAACACTAGTTTTCACTATATTGTCTTTGCGATTTGGGTTTTGCAATAATGACTTTGTTATTTTTTGCGATTATCAATTTGCAAAAAAAGTTTCACTGTAATCTATTCACTTTAAATGTTTCGTGATAAAAGTTTTGCCCAAAAGTGCTTTGCAATAAAAGTTTCACTAATTAACATAGAACCATGGTCATTAAACTAAAACAAAGTGAATTTTATTATATGGAATAATATATGTTCAAATATTATCTCCTACATCAATCAATGGATAAATTACAAAAGGAGAAAGAAGGATATTATGATGACCTAGTTCCGAAAATATTTAGTTAGCAAAAATTAAGTGTTTTACTAAAGTATTGTTTACCTTTAATGTTACATTAATTGGTCTGGTAGAAAGATATGAAAAAATTGTTAATTAATCACCCAAGCCGATATTTTTTATTTTTAGTTGAATATTATTTTCTTACAATAATATTAATTTTATTTATTTGTATGAAATTAGGTGTCATATATCTTTTATTTTATGTTTAAAAAATTTTAAAATTTTTACAGAATCTGTTGTATTATTAAAAACCCAGAAAAGGTTCATATAAACTGTCAAATGTATTACTCGCTTCATTTTTTTGACAAAAATTTAGTCATGGTTTGGTTGACAATTTGTTCAATCTTAAAAATTTTATATTTTGAATCAAAATGTGCAGCATTTAAAGCTATTATTAAAAATATGCAAGAATTATTAATAGAGGCAATCTCTAAATATAAAATCTTATTCTAATGTATGAGATAACACTAAAATAAATGATGACTTTTTAATTTTGTTGATTATCATAATCAAACACCACAATGAACAATAAATCCCCACAGTATTGATTTCAAATATTTCAATATCAAGATTAGGCTATTAAATTACAAATTATTAAATAAAATTCCAATAATGGAAATAATTTTGAAATATAATACAATATTGCCTTCTTTAGTAGTGAAAAGATTTTTTCATTTGAGGGATTGATAAATATCCCTAACAAATAATTCAGATTTAACACTTTTTAAAAATTCATTAAAAAATAAATATTGCCTGTTAAATATCCATTTAAAGTACTTAGAACATGTAATAAAATTTTTAACTATTGGTTGATACCTATCAAACATATGGTTTTGACTAAAAAAAAGGAGCATCTATATATTGCTGATATTAACATTATAATAATGACCTCATGTTTAAAATAAATAAAGGAAGATTAATTATAAATAGCAAGATCTTGTAGTATGATATTTAATTGATATATAAATTACTTATGTGAATCTTCTTGGCTAAAATTCTTTTTATTATCTCTAAAAAGGCTATAAAGACGATGTAATGCACAAGCATGAAACAGGTGATTATTTTCCGCTTTCCAGAAGACTAATGCCAATTTTTCATAATAACAAACACGAACAGGAGTTTTAACTTGCTTTTTTGTTATCTGCATTAATCCATAAATATCTTGAACAACTTTAAATGTTTCCTAAAAAATATAAAAATTCAAATTTTAAATGAAATAATGTAAAACCTGCCACAATTCCATTTGAATAGCTATATCCAATTGGATAAACCTTGTATTTAAATGCATTTGCTGGGTTTCATAGTTATTCAGATCAATCGCTATTGATGGGTTATTTTGTTTTTGAAGCAGTGAGATATGATTTCTTAACTGAAGTTATTTAATAATATAAAAATTATGAGTAATATAAGTACATTTTCAGAAATTTTTTTAAATTCAGTTCTTCTTGAATATTTTTGACAAAATTCAAAGGTTTTTTTAGCAATTTCATGGTATAAAGGTTGGACTAAATTATTGTTCCTAAGTAAATCCAAACATTGTCTATAGGCTTCCCATAAAAATTTAACCCATGGTGTTAATAATAAACGATTATTACGATCTAATGAATCCTCCCCACTAACAGCACTCAACAATAATCTAAAATACCCAGCTATTATATATTTATGTGATATATATAACTCTTCAGGTGATTGGATAACATCTAGATCATCAACATGTATAATTTTATCTTTTGAGTCTTCTAATGCTTCAAAAGTTCTCTTCTCTGCATATTCTAGAAAATTTCTAAATACCGATTCTAATGCACTAACATTGACCTGTAATACATATCTCTTTAAATTTGAGTGATAAAAATTAGTTAACCTGTTGACAAATATTTCTATAATGATAGAGACCTTCTTTGGCAATATCTGACTTACGTAATTTAACGCATAGTGTTAAGAATTTGTTAAAATAATCATATAAAATTTTTTCTGGAGTTTTCTGCCATATCTTATGAGGCTTATTTTTAATTAAGGCTGCTAATGCTTCTAATGCTCGATCATCTTTACCAACATCTATAAATTCTAAAAAGATTCATTATAAATACTCACAATATATTAAAAAGATATAACCTTGAGCTCTTTTTAAAACATTATCAGGTTTATGCATGTACACAGGCATTACGAAAAGTAAGTGAAGTTAACACAAATTAGACCCTTATTATTAGATTTTAATCTTTTATTAAAATTTAATTATCTTTTGTATTTTGTTAAATATAAATTTCACAAATTTTTTTTTATTACTTAAAAGTGTCTTTTATACATTCTGATATATAATTTGCCAAGAACATTGATTTAGACTATTTAAGAAACGGCTAAATAACCACAAATATATTACCTGTTTTTAAATTTTGTATCGTCTAAAATCAAATTTCCTAAAAAAAAATATTACATAATTAGTAGGTAATGCTAAATTTTCTTTTTCAAAATATAAAATAGAATGATAATTTTGAATATGTTAAAATAATTTCCGTTTATAACAATTTTGAATATAATAATAACAAATAAAGAGTTAAGCAGTAAGAAATTAAGGAATTTGGTACGGTTAGATAAGTGTTTTTAAATAAAAATATTTCAAAATAAAATAAATATAAAAATAATAGGTTTTTGTGTGAACGCATAATAATAAAAGTAAAGATAGTATTATGATATAAATCCTATATAATATATATCCTATTATAACAATAAACTGAGAGAGCAAAAAGATTTGACTTTTATGATAAAATCTAGAGGTTTATGAGTAATTTAAGGTACCATGGGGTTAAGGTTAGCAGGGAGTTAGACAAGATTTAACTAAAAAATTTAAGATTTTAATTTATAAAAATATATATAAAATATTTTAACTTTAAAGTACAATAAATTTATACGCTTATATAGTTTACAAAATCTATCAAGTAATTTATATCGAATTATTGAGTTAATTTTATAAAACGAGTCCGCGAGGTTAAAGTAAATTTAATATAAAGAATTTAAAAAAATCAATCTTTTAGTTAATAGATAGCGATCAATTAGGACATCACAACATTCCACCCTCTGAAGGAACATTGCCTAGGTTCTCTTTAGGTGTAAATCTTTCGTGTTCAAGGAGCTTCCCATCTATTTTGATCATAAAAACTGTCATAGTTTCGTCTTGAAAAATGATAGTTATTTTGTATGTTGAATCTTTGGTTGCCATAATATGGTCGAGTCTGCCATGGTTGTCTAAACTGATGTCTGTAATTATTATCATAATGTCTGTTGCTCTCAGTACATGGCATCATCTGGGTATTGTCATATCTAGTATTAGTTGGTTTTTGTTCGTAAACTTTCTTATCTTGTATTACTCCCTCCAAATGTTTTAGATCAGAGTGTTTATTTTCTTTGATAACAATCTTATGTATAGATGTTTCGATGTCAGTTTCGTCTAATTCTTTGCCTACCTTTATAATGTCATATCAAATGAGTAAATCTTTAATTCTGTATTTAATTATCTTAGAAGAGCTTGATACCTATCAAAACAACACTCTGGTATTATAACAACAAACAACTACTTTTTTATGTATCTATGTTTTTTTTTACTTACTTCAATAATTTTTTTCTCTTGAAACATAAAATCAATAATTTTATTTCCTTATTTTTTCTTTCCTTAAAATATGAAATCGTACATAAAAATAATAATCGTTTCTTTTTTTTTCGCGCTTATATATTTATTTTTTTTACAAAATCATCCCGTTTATTTATTATTTTTTTTATCAAAAGTCAATCAACCTTTTTTTTTAATATTTATTTATTCAACTCCTTATTATTCGTATACTTTGCCATTATCTTCCTTTAGTGCTAGGCTTAATAGCTTGCTCCCTTAACACGCCCCCTTCAGAAAAGACGATCCTCCGCCTCCTCCTCCCAGAGGTTGCCCCACTCCGAATCTTCTACCAGACATCCAACCAGCCTCCAAGCTAATCAACATCGTCCAGAACTGCCACTAGCTCCCTCCATTCCTCGGTTCCCATCACTCCTTGATTAGTTCCTATACTCTCGGCAGCCGTGATACCCTCTCACATCGTTATATTGTTTCCCGCTGTCATATCGTTTGTGCCCTCACTCTCGACTGTTAAATCAACTATGGGCCATATCCTTCGATCCACGCTAGCTGTTCTTGGACGATGTTCAAGCTGCTCCTCTTCTTCATCTCTCCTCTTTCCCGGAATTTCTGCGACGGGCCTCGATTCACCGCTTCTTACTTGCTCCGTCCGAGCCCCCACAATCGCCGCTATCTGCCTCGCTGGTACCTCCTCCACCCTTGCTCGAGCCCGTTGCAATCCCGTCCGATTACCATCCGCCCTTCTCTCCTGATTCCATGGGCATTTATATTGAATATGTCCGCGTTCCTGGCAGCGATAGCACCGTCTTCCGTCCTCCATAGTTCATCTTATTATTCCCCGTCCGCTTCGACGACCCCTGCCCCCGGTCCTATGAGGCCGCACCAGATCCAACTTCTACACAAACATGGAGCATTATTTTGATCCATTTTGATTACCTACCTAAATATATTCTATACTATATAATCCTTACAAAATACGTACTTTGTAACGAATTCCTCTTTTACAATTCGAGGTAATCACCAATTTTATTTAACTTACAAAAAAAAAGAATTATAACTTTTAACGAAAAAAAATTTCTTCACAAAAATAAATAATTTTTCTCTGTTCCTCTTTTTTTTCTTTTTTTGGCCCACTGCCTCCTAAGCCTATGCTTTGCACGCCGAGTAATTAATTATCTTTTCATCAAATAATTTGGGACACCGCCCCTTTCCCGTCTCTAACATATCCAAATTTCCCTTCCAATAATCTGATCCCAAACAACATATCGTTCCAACTCTTTTGACATTTTAATTATCACAACAAAATAAAATTACACTTGTTCTCTTCGACAAAAAAATTGGGACTATACAAATTTACATTTGTTCCCTTCGACAAAATTTTGACTATCAAAAAAAAATTTACATTTGATAAAATTTGACTATTAGAAAGAATTTACATTTGATAAAAATTGACTATTAGAAAGAATTTACATTTGAAAAAATTTGACTATTAGAAAGAATTTACATTTGATAAAAATTGACTATTAGAAAGAATTTACATTTGATAAAAATTGACTATTAGAAAGAATTTACATTTGATAAAAATTGACTATATAAAAGAATTTACATTTGTTTTCTTCGCCAATTCTATTAATTTCTCCCTCCTCCCCACCTAATTCTTATAGGCTCTTTTATTCTTCCAAAAATTGTTACGTCTCGCATTCTATATGCTCTTTTATTCTCACAATTATTATTATTTTCCTTCTATATACGCTCTCTATCTTCCCACATGCTGACTCCCCTTTTACCTCCTGACCTGACCTAAGTCTTTTGACTTGACCTAAGTCTTCCGGGGTCCATTCCTCTCTTTAACTGATCCCTATGCCTTATTCCTTCTCTCCCGTCTGGGAACTTTATCCTATGCAATTTGTGCCCCACGTTCTCTATGACCACACCGGATTCCCATTTTCGGGTACCCCCAAAAATTCTAGCCCAACCGTTTGCCCCACCACGAATTTACACGTATTATCTCTCGAATCCATCTCTGGAGGTACCTCTTGTTTTAGCAAATCTAATTGAATGCGAGTTCTACGGCCCAAAAATTTTTCCGCCGGTGACAACTCCTCCTTTTTTCTACTATTATTATAATAGGCCACGGCGATCCATAGTTCCCCCCCCCCGCCATATTTCGATTTTCTTAACCAACTTTTAACCAGAGCCACTATTCTTTCCACTTGTCCGTTTGAGCTTGGATGATAAGGAGGTGCTAAGACATGTTTTACCCCGGTTTCCGCGCAAAATTTTTCAAACTGTCTACTCATAAAAGTGGGACCGCCGTCGGACATGATCGTCCTCGCTACCCCAAAACAAGCCCATAAATTCTTTAAGGTCTTTATTACAATTTGCGTAGTTAACCCCCTTACTGACTCGTACTCTACCCATTTGGAGTATGCATCTACCACAATTAAATATATTTGACCCTCAAAGTCAAAGAAGTCGATGTTGATACGTTCCCACGGCTCTGTAGTCTTGGGCCATACTCTTTTCTTGCCTCTGTGAGGCATACCCGCCCACAGGTTACACATTTCACAGCTTCGGCTTATGTCCTCAATCTCTTTGTTCATCCCTGGCCACCATACATATTCTCGGCCCCATTGTTTCATTTTCTCAACTCCCTGATGCCCTGCATGAATTATTGCCAAGACCGAATCTCTCAATTTGAACGGTACTATACCCCGACTTCCCCGTACCACACAGTCATCCACAATAGCTAATTCCTTTTCGATGTATTTAAAAACTTTATCTCCGTCGCTCCAAGGTTTTCGCCCCTTTATACACGCCTTAACTCGAGTCAATTCACGATCCTTTAGAGTTGCCCTTTTATGTTCTTCCCACGTTATCGGTCCTCCCTTGGCTATTTTGACCATCGCTCTAATTAGTCCTTGCTCCTTTCCCTCCTCTATATCCTCTTGAGCCATTTCATATCCCTCTTCTCCAGCTCCACGCCTAGAAAGAATATCTGGTAAACAGTTTTCCCTTCCCCGTCGATATTTTAATTGTACATCAAAACTTCCCACCAGTAAGAGCCATCTTTGTAATCAGGGCGATAACATCAGCTCCTTATTATCCTTTTTGAACAAGTGTACCAACGGCTTGTGGTCTGTATATATCACAAATCTACGCCCAATCAAATACTCACGGCATTTCGTCAGTATAAATATAACAGCCAATGCCTCCTTTTCAATCACGGAATATCTCGTTTCTGTGGCTCTGAATATTCTCGAGAAAAACAAAACCGGTTTTTCCATTCCATCTATATAATGCAATAACGCCCCACCTACTCCTTTAATCGATGCATCTACCGCCAACACCACCTCCAACTCGTTGTTAAAACACATAAGAATGAGCTCCCTTCTAATTCTAGCTTTTAATTCTTCAAACGCATTCTCCTGTTCCTCCTTCCAATCAAATTTCTCACCCTTATTTAGCAGAGTATATAATGGCGCAGCTATTTGAGCGAATCCCTCTACAAAGTGGTGGTAGTAATTTACCATTCCCAAAAAGCCTGAACCTCAATTTTATTATTCGGCCTCAACATATTCGCAATTC